CATTACTCTACATTGGCACTTCTAGAAACCCATGTTCTTCAGGATGGAAAGTCCTGCAGTAAAATGGGATCATTTGACATCTACCGGTGCTGAAGATACGGTAAATGGCCGCTAAGAACACAGCAAAGAAGATGATAGTGTCATTTTTATGGGCTTTTTACTTTGAAAAAATTGGGAGTTCCTTTCATAAAGGCTTTCTTGGAGAATGTGTTTTGTGGCGCTGTCCTGGGAGTTTTGGGGGAGGACAGGGATTCCTCTGGAATGTTAGGAGAATCAGAGTAGTAAAGTAAATTCTCTGAGGGCACACAGCCTGTGCCCTCCCTTCTTGTCTGATCCAAACCTCCAGAGCCAGGGAGGAAGGAGCAGCATGGGTGTGTGTGAGATCACAGAGCACAGGGAGTAGGGAGTGTCCAGCAGTAAAGGTGGGGAAACAGAGTCACCGCAGTGCAAGAGCCAATGTGTATTGTTCTGCTTCATGGGAGGTGGGCTTGGCCCTTGATTGTTGGGCCAGGATTGTTCTAAGTACTAGATTTGGGCAGCCGGTTCCAGGACAGGAACGGAAGAGTGCTAGAGAGCTCAAGACCCAGGGATATAAGGTCCATTTTACAAACTGTGTTCTGAATTCTTGCCAATCATTTCACGTTCACTGGAAAACAAACATCTCAGGTGGTGAACAGACTTGCCCAAGTTAAGGGAGCAAGTGGCACCCCAGGACTGAAATTCCTGTCTCCTCTGAGTGTAGGCTATGTATCCTGTGTGATATGGAGGCATGCCTCCCATTCTGCGTGGCTGGTATGAACTGTCTGGTCACGGTCTCATGACTCCTCACGGACTCTACATCCTCTCCTGGGTCTCCCACTCTGCCCAACTGGCTTGAACAGGGTGATCACAGTCTTATCACCCCTCATAGACTCCTATGTCTTCTCCTTGGCCTCCCACTCTGCCCGGCTGGTGTAAACTAGCTGATCACGGTCTCATCACCCACATGGACTCCTGTGTCTTCTCCTTGGCTTCCCACTCTTCCCAGCTGGTGTGAACAGGGTGATCACGGTCTCCTCACTCCTCACGGACTCTACATCCTCTCCTGGGCCTCCCACTCTGCCTGGCTGGTGTGAACAGGCTGCTCATGGTCACATCATTTCTCATGGACTCTACATCCTCTCCTGGGCACCCTTGCTCTCAGGAAGGCCCCTGAGTAATGCATAGGGCAGGTTCTCAAAAGCAGCAGGAGAGGACAATCAAGTAGTAAAGGTCTTGAAGTGGGTGAGGCTGTAGGCTGGGCAGTCATAAGTCAAGACTGTGAGTGGTGAGTTGTTAAGTGGGGACATTCTCCACAGAGAAGGACCTACCTATGTTTGGAAGAGGAGGAATGGGTAGAATGGATGAGAGGAATGTTTTGATCAGAGTATTCTCTGTGTGTATTGACTCTGTCCAAGCGAAAGTGAAAGAAAATTCGTGACATCAAGGGAGAACAAAGGGCGTGGGCACAGTGGCTCAGGCAGGGGATTTCCAACTCAGCTCGTACATAAGCTGGATGCCAGTCCTATTCCTCAGCCTCCTGTGTCTGCTCTGTTGGTTGTAGACATGGCATCTGGTACTTCCTGCCTCCATGTAAGCTGGGGTTGAAAAGTGGGGATGGGGAGAGGGAAAGCACCGCCAAGGGTTGGGGAGTGATTTCAGGAGTCCAGGAGGGACAGAGCTCGGGGAGGTGGGGGCAGAGCAGCTGGGAAGGCATCCTGCAGGGGCTGCAACAGGCTCTGATCTCTATAGAAGCTGAAGGAAGGTTCTGGGAATAGAAGCAGCTTGTTTGGCTCCTCAGTGCTCTTCTGTGTCAGGCCTGACTGGGCCCTGTTAGGGAGGATGGTGGGAAGTGGGAGTGGGCTTTGGGCCCACAGGGCTGGATTTGAACCTATGGAAATGTTGTCTGGAGCCCTTTCTCCTCCTTTTGATTAGGGTCCCTGGGCTCTTCAACACCTTCTCCTCCCAAAAGAGAGGTACACAAAACTCATTCACTCTAAGGTGTTAATGACCAGATCCATGAGCCTATAAGGAGCGCGTGCAGTACATGTGGGCTGGCCTCGGGGGGCTGCTTAGCACAGAGGGGCTTGGTCCTGTGAGGAAATGTCTGTGACGTCCAGACTGCGAAGATGGTTTTGAATAGAGCAGGAGGGAGGTCCTCCCAGGCTTGCCAGCGACAACACAGGCTGCACTGGCCAGCTTCAGACTATGGAAGGAAGACCTCGATCTGGCCCTGCCTTCTGTGAGTGAGGCCCTGGTCTAGCTGCAGGAGACCATATTCTGCAATAGGTAGATAGAAACACACGGGAAGTCCAGGGGAACAAGTCACACTGAACACAGTGTCACCATAACGTGTGAGTCATTACATGGCCATAGGACAGTAAGAAAGAGACCAGGAGTATGGAGGGTATGTGTCCTGTCCAGGGTCTCCTTCTGAAGTAGTCATGGAGGGAGGTATGTGAGTGTCCCATGAGCTGAAGAGTCGGTGATTCTCTCTGGGAGCTGTTGTTGGCGTCCGGTGCATAACTGTGCGTGCTTTGTAATTGGATTTAGTTTCTGACATTTGACAACCTCTATCTGGATAGGAGGCTTGCGAAATGTGGGAAATCACTGATGACGTTGGGATGAATGAGAGGTATGGCTGTAAAGGAAAACGATGATTTTCCTGCGTTAGAAGCTTGAGATTCCCAAAGAGAAGTTCCACAAAAGGGAGGGACAGAGCCTGTTGTATAGGAGCTGGAGGACAAGGCAGGCAGGGAGGGTGTGGCCGGGCAAGGAGGGGACAGTGGTGTAAAGGTGGTAGGCATTCCAGGCACCTTGATTTGCGGTCTCTTGGCCTTCGTTGTCCAGGTGACGGTCTATTCTGCGGGAAGGACGTCAATGACATTCGCTGCTAACTTGGAGGACACAGTGAGGAGGATCAAAGAACACGTCCGGGCTAAGACCAAGATTCCCGTGCAGGACCAGGTCCTGTTGCTGGGCTCCAAGATGCTGAAGCCCCAGAGGAGGCTCGTTTTACGGCATTGACAAGGAGACAACCATCCACCTCACTCTGAAGGTGGTGACGCCCAGTGATGAGGAGCTGCCCGTGACTCTGGTGCAGTCACGTGATGGGGGGCAGAGGCACCACCTCCAGGTACGAAGGTCCAGCTCAGTGGCCCAGATGAAACAGATGTTCGAGACCAAGACCACGATCGCGCCTGAGCAACAGATTGTGACTTGCAATGGCAAGAGGCTAGAAGACGGGAAGACCATGGCGGATTACGGCATCAGACGGGGCAATTCACTCTGGCTGGCAGACTACTGCATTGGGGGGTGAGCCTGCTGTTAGCTCTCATTCCCCCCACATCCTTTGATGATTTCCCCAAATTAACGAGAAAGAGAAAGAGGGAGAGTTAGGGGTGAAGAGGGAAGGAAGACTGCAGAAAAGTTTCTAACTCTATGATTTTTTGATCAAACACAGTTGATTAGCTGTATAAATTGTATATATTACTGAAAATAGAAAATAATATTTTAAGGCACAGTAGAGATAGCATCAAAGCTAACTTGGAATTTAATCCTTTCCCTCGTCCCTCTGATTTTTAGAAAAATTCCTATTTCTTCCGTCCAATAGGATAGTAAGTTCCACATTGGGATCCATATTCCTCCAATTTCTGTGTTCCCACTGGCATATTTCATCTGTAATATCACTCAATATGTTGAATTAAATTGAATTTCTGCTTGTAGAGAACAGTGAAATGATTTATATTGAAGTGTGCTAATTCCTCTGATATGTTTACAATCTAAGTAATAAAGAATTTAGAAATTCAACTAAACTATCTTCTCTGTCCTTATTTAACGTTGTTTGGCAGGAAATGAATCCCGGCACGGTGTGCCGTCTTCCTCTCTACGCCCCACTCCGATTTCAGCTGTTCTTATTTCTGGAGTTGATGGTGGGCATGGGAAGACACCTCCCCTGGGGACTCAGAGATTTTGTTCTCTAGTGGGAGGGGGTGTCCCTGGGGAAGGTGTGGTTGTGGAGCCGTCTCTGTCCTGCTGTGCTAGGGTCTAGCAGGTCTACTCTGGGGTGGGGGCATCTTTTGGGTGGGGGCTTTCGGTTGGTCTCTGGGTTGACTCCCGAGGCAGTGCCCTGGTCCTGGCTGACAGAGCCTTTTCCTGGCTGCCTCCTGCGCCCCCCACCCCTGTGTCTGCTCCTCCCTGGGGAATGTGGGTCTCTTCCTGCATCTTCCTCCCTCACTCACTCCGTTCTCTCACTGTCCCTCTTGTGTCTCATGACTGGTCAAGAACACATTTTTCACACCATCTAAGACATGCCTAGTCCCTTCTGCTCTTTAAACTTGCTCAAGAACCACCTTGTGCAGAGAGATCCCAGCTGAACCCCAGCGGCACCACCCCCACTTAGGGCTCCAGTGCTCTTGGTGGCACTAGTGACCTGGTTAGGTGGGCATTAGGTTGGACTGATTTCCCTGGAGGAGCCACTGCGGCTCCTTGTTTTGGATGGGTCTCCGGCAGGGTAGAGTCTGGGATTTCTCTGTCAACTTGGGGGACTCCTGAGGCCAGACACTGTGGGTTCTTCACGGTGTGCACCATCAGACTGGGGGAGAGGGAACGTTAGTTGTCCTGTTGTACAGGATCTTACCAGCATATGGACTCTTTGGGTGTTGTCACTGGACCCCTGAGGATGGGGAAGGTCCTCTCGAAATCATGCCCTCTCTCTTCATCAGCTGAAGAGAGAGCTGGAAGGCCACTTCCCCTCCCTGAACCTGTATATGCAGCATAGAGGGATTTGCCCTGAAGCAGAGGAACATTTGGGAGCGGGGGGGACGGAGAATGGGGCCTCCCCAAAGACCTGGGACTCCCTGAGGACACATCTTGCCGATTCTCCCAGGGAAATGGACAGGCTGAGGGCTCGCTGCCTTCCCAATGGACATTCCCATCCGTGGGCCCGGGGCTCACCCTTTCTTCCCTCTCCCGCCCCGCACTCACCGTCCAGCCTGCCCTCTCCCCACACTGCCCAGGAGCTTCCTGGCTGCCCCCTTCACTTCCTTGTTCCTGAGGGTGTAGATGAGCGGGTTGAGGGCCGGGGTGACCACGGTGTAGAAGAGCGAAGCGAACTTGCCCCGCCCCTGGTCGTAGCGGCGCGTGGGCTGTAGGTAGGTGTAGATGGCCGAGCCGTAGAAGAGGCAGACGGCGGTCAGGTGGGACCCGCACGTGCCCAGCGCTTTCCTGCGGCCGCCCCAGGACCGCATGCCGCAGATGGCGCGGGCCACGGCGCCGTACGAGGCCAGGATGACGGCGGACGGCAGCAGCAGGATGACCACGAGCGCAGCGAACATCCGGCGCTCGGTGGCGTCGCGGCCGCCACCACAGGCCAGCTGCAGCAGCGCGGGGAGCTCGCAGATGAAGTGGTTCAGCAGGTGGGGTGCGCACAGCGGCCGTGCGGCCAGGAGCGCGCTCTGCGCGGCGGAGTTGGCCAGGCCGCCCAGCCAGGCGGCGCAGGCCAGCGCGCGGCACCGGCGCGGGGAGGCGAGCTTGGCGTGGCGCAGCGGGTGCACGACGGCGGCCGCGCGGTCCAGCGCCATCACCGCCCGCAGCAGGCACTCGACGGAGCCCAGCGCCAGCGACGTGCACAGCTGGGCCAGGCAGCCCGCGCGGGGCAGCCACAGCTCCGCGCCGCACAGGCTGGCCAGCAGCGCGGGCGCCACGCTCGTGGTGAAGCCCGCGTCCACCAGCTCCAGGTGGCACAGGAAGTAGTACATGGGTGTGTGCAGGCGCGGGTCGCGCACGGCCAGCAGCACGAGGGTCGAGTTGCCCGCCAGGGTCAGGAGGTAGCAGAGCAGGACGAGGGCGAAGAGGGCGGGCTGCAGCGCGGGCCAGTCAGAGAAACTCAGCAGGAGGAAGCGCTCCTCGGTGCTGTGGTTGGCCTGCGGGAGGAAACTCCCAGAGTGTTTGGAAGGAGGCTGAGCGAAAGGGTGAGTTTACCCCCAGGGAGCTAAAGAGAGCCCCGCTGCCCGGGGGGCCTGGCCATCCGGGAGCTGGATGGGAGAGAGGGGCCCGCGGGGCGGGGGATCGGATGGGAGGGAGCGGAGCGCGCCTGGCTCTCTCAGTTACAGGCGGGAGCCCTGGCTTTGGGAAGCTAGCCCTACCTCAGTACAGCTTGGCTGATGAATTATTTAGCAGACTCTTTCGGGGAGAAGGAATTTCCGCTTGTTGGAAGAACAGACTTAGACTGGGAGAGGGAAGATTGCCCAAGGTCACAGCTAGTGAGTGGCCCCCTGGGGCTTGTCTCCTTGCCAAATCCGTGCTTTTTCTGCTCCTCGCTGGCTTCTGACTGCACTCCTCGGGTCCAAGCAGGAATCTGATCTTCCTCCCATAGACTAGTCCTTCAGATGCTGGAAGAGATTCCCCCCTGAGCCTCCCTTCCCTCCTTCCAAAGTGTGTAGCACCTGCGAGTAAGTGCAGTGCCCTAGGCTTGGTAGAGCTGTCACTTGGGAGATTAGAACCATCTATCCCCTTCTTTGTTTCAGGGATTCTACTTCTGAGAATACAACCATTAGCTGCTGACTACTGAGTGCTACTCTGTGGGGAGTCTGTGTTCTAGGCTGTCACCAGCATCCATGCCCCTCTGGCTTCTCCGTAGTGTGATGGTCATGATCTGGGGGCCTTGAAACCCAGAGTCCTCTGGCAGAACATGAAGCTAGAAGCCCTGGGTCCCACCAGCATAATTGCCTTGGGCCAGTTGGATTATTTGATATGGGGAAGTCACTGCATTTCTCTTTGCCTTTGTCTTCCACGTGTAAGAGGAGGAGTCTGACCTAGATGATCTCCAGGGCTCCTGTCTTATAGCCTGGCTCTCATTGGGAAAAAAAAAAAATTGTCCTTTGAATGAAAAGGGGACCCCACACAGAGGGCTTTAACCCTGCAGAGTGACATTGAGTCGCATTTCCTAATGGTACAGAAACCATACGGTAAATGCGATGACTAAATGTTACAGTGAAATCTCGCTCCTGCACACTTCTTTGCAGGTGTGCAGAGATAGATAAACTTCGTAGTCACTATTCTGAGTTTTAAAATCACGAGACCCTAATTTTCTTTAAAATGTTTCAGGAAAATCTCTTTCCCCCAGAGAATGTTGTGCTTTTAGGGTTCCATTTATGCTCAGGAGACGGAACAGGTGTTCATGGTGTGAGTCAGAGCAAGGGTGGGGGCGTCAGACCGCCCGAGCTCCAGTCTCGACTCTGCCATTTCCCAGCGGAACGACCCTGGGCACGTGGCTTCACCTGTCTGTGGCTCTGTGTCCTCACTTGAAAGTGGACTGGTGGAGGGGGTGAAGCACGGAGAGCTCTCAGAACAGGCACGGGACCGAGTGGGTGTTTAGTAAGTGCTCGCTCTTATCATCTGCACCTGCGAGTCAGGAGAGGTCTGTGGGTGCTCCCACACCAGTTAGGGCCAGAGCCGGCTGTGAGTTTAGGTCTTTTTATTGATGAACTCTGGTCTTTACTCACCTGGAAGTGAGGCAATACTGTTCTAAGAGGAAGGTAGACGGGGGGCTGAGGTTAAATAACTTGCCCGGGCCACACTGTTTGTAAATGCTTGTCAGGATTTCACCCGAAACTCACTAATTCCAAGAGCCTTGCTTTACATCTGTGCACGTATGTTTAAGCCAGGCTCTACTCTGCCTGAGGCTGCGGAGGATGGAAGGACATGCGAACCCTGAGCTTGCTGCAGAGCACTGGGGCCATCAGGGAGAGGAATGCAGGCGAGAGCTGACATTCAGGCTTGTGGCCCAATGGTGCCAGAGACGTTGTTCTAGAGAGTCCAGTTTTCTAATTCTGGGATCACATAGGCACACACCCGTTCAGCCAGCCAAGCCCTGAACACTTCCCCTCCAGACACACCAAACCCCGAAACCAGGCGCAGAACAATAAAATCACACAACCAACACCAGTACCCCATGGACACACACATTCCCGAATACTCAGACACATATGTGCACATACGTGTCCCCTCATCGCACCCTGAGGCTTCCAGAAGGCAAATCTGTTGTCAGAATATTCCAGGATGTGTCCCCAAACCTCGTTCGGTATTCTATTAGCAATAATCGTGCCTCGGATAAACCTCATTGTCTACGATACTGCCACTGCGCAAAGCTCATTCGGTATTCTAGAACGTGCACGGCATCTACAAGACCATCTTCCTACCTCATGTCTGGGTCTCTGGCACTGATGTTCCGCCGCTTCTTTCCAGATGATCAGTTGGTCTGTTGTGTCCGCTCTGGATCCTCGGAGTTGGAAATGGCTGTTGGTGGGGGAGATGAGAGTGAATGGCATGACTGTTGATTTCGAGACTGGGTGCCTGAGGTCAGAGCCAGGGCCTTCCTTCAGGAACAGGACGTGGGGTGGCGAGCCCCTCGCTTGTCAGTCGAGGAGTGAACATAAGGTCTTCAGCAGAGAAGCCGGCCAGGTCTGGAGAAGCACCGAGATTCAGGCAGAGTGGCGGTGTCTGTTCCCAGAGAGCCGGCACCAGGGTGAGCCCAGGCAAGGACTGGTGTCTTGGGCCGGTCGCAGGTCGGCGGTGGCTGCAGCTGGCCGCGGAAACCGCCTTCCGGATTCTGAAGGCTCCGGAGCCGTGCAGCGGGGATGTTGGTGAGCCGCTCACCAGAGAGGATTTGGGGAAACGATTCTCCCTGCTGTTGAGAAGAGAGGATGGGGCCCTGGGGAACCCCTGTCCCACTCCCATGAGCACCTGTGCGGATTTGTCCAGAGGAGTCCCCCAGGGCAAGGAGAGGAACATTCTGGAGGGAAAGGTCCTCGAGGGTGGTGTGTCCCTGGCTGCGTGGAGGTCCCCAAGGCAGCCCCGGGCTTCCTCCCCAGCCTGTGTTCTAGCATAGTGGTGTAGGGTTTTGTTCAGGGGATGAGGGACCTTGAGCAGCTGCATGACCTCAGTGACTCTCGGGGTCAGTATGAAAACGGGGGAGACAGTTCTTGTCTGTGGGAGGGGTTTGAGGTCTGGTAAGGTCATCCTCAGTTCTGAACCTCCTGTCATAGGCCTTCACCGCCACCCCTTCTTGTGGCTCTCACTGCCTTTGCTCTGTCCCTGGCTCAGCCCCTGTCCCAGGACGGCCTGTCCTAATTCCCGACAGATCTCTCTCCACGCAGACGATGCTTCTCTGCTCCCTCCTGCGGTCCCTCCCTTGGCTGGCATCTGGAGGTTTGTCATAGTCCCCAAGGCGGCCTGTCTCCACTGCTCTCTTGAGCTTGGGTTCCCTGGTCAGTCCTTGTAGTTACTGCTCTGCACACTCCCTCCTGGCACTGCTGCGTCTTCTCCCTTGGTTACATTCCGTTGGCTAGATCATCATCCTATTCGAATGAAATCCTAATCCTACCCTGTCCCCGTATTTGTTCAGCCGATTGTGGCTGGAGGTCAGGCCAGAACCATCCGAGAAGCTTCGGTTCATGACCATTAAGGTTCTTTTTAATTTTTGCTGCTTGCTGGAGACATACTACATCGGGTAAGTTTAAGGCGTCCGGCGTGGTGACCGGTTACGTGGACGTACTGTGCAGTGTCGGCCGCACTGCGGTTCGTGAGCACGGGCGCCGGCTCACACAGCTATCGCCGCACTGTCGCTGTGGTCACAACACGCACACGCCCTCCTGCAGCAGCTGTGAGCGCACGATACGTGTTCCCCGCACTCGCCCCTCCGCACATCCGATCCCAGAACTCATCATAACTGGAAGTTCATCGTCTTTGACCAGCATCACCCCTTCAGCCCTGCCCTCAGCCGCTGGCGACCCCCATTTGAGTCTTCCACATACTCAGTGCTTTGGGATCCCAGGTATAAATGGCACCAAGCAGCGGTTGTCTTTCTCTGTCTGATTTGTCCCACTCGGCCTAATGCTCTGTCCGTCCATGGGGCGCAAACGGCAGGATTTCCTTTGTCATGGCTGAGGACTGTCCCATTGCATCTTCTTCATCCACATATCCATCCAGGGCCACTGGAGTTTGTAGGGCTCATGAGGAGCGGGATGGCGAGCCTATATCTCTTTGAGTGAGTTTGTCTCCTTTGGATATATCTCCAAGTGGAATTGCTGGATCGCTGGATGTGGTAGCTTTTTCGTTGTTGGAGAACCTGCATTCTGTTTTCCCTGGTGGCTGAGCTGGTTCACATCCCCACCACCAGGGCCCGGGGTTCCCTGTTCTCCACATTTCTACCAACACTTCTCACTTGTCCTTCAGAGAAGAAGCGTTCTGACAGGTGTGAGGTGATGTCTCATTGTGGTTAAGATTCACGTGTCTCTAATGATTAGTGCCGCTGAGCACATTTTCAGGTACCTCTTGGCATTTTTATGTTTTCTTTGGAAAACCGTCAATTCAGGTCCTTTGCCATTAATTGGATCATTTTTTCCCCCTATTTAGTTGTGTGTGTTCTCTACATACTTACATATACATATATTAGACACCTGGTTGCAAATATTTTCTCCCACTTCTAGATTGCTGTTTTGCTTTGCTGATTTCTTTTCCTGTGCTGGAACTCTCTATTATTTTATTATTTATTTATTTATTTGTACTTTAATTCAAATTTTAATGTTCATTTAAAAATCTTGAAGATTGGGCTCCTGGGTGGCTCAGTGGGTTAAAGCCTCTGCCTTCAGCTTGGGTCATGATCCCAGGGTCCTGGGACCCAGCCCCTCATCGGGCTCTTTGCTCGGAGGGGAGCGTGCTTCCCTCTCTCTCTCTCTCTGCCTGCCCCTCTGCCTACTTGTGATCTCTGTTAAATAAATGGATAAAATCTTTAAAAAAAATAAAAAAATATAAATCTTGAAAGCAGTGGTTCAAATTACTTCCTAAATTTCCTACTTAATTACTATTGATTACAATAAAAACTTTGCACACACCCCAATGGTAAAGTGTAACCCTTTGATTTTCTTCTTTTTTTGGGGGGGGGAATGATTTTATTTCTTTATTTGACAGAAAGAGAGAGCACAAGTAGGGGGAGCAACAGGCAGAGGGAGAGGGAGAAGCAGCCTCCTTGCTGAGCTGGGAGCCTGATGTGGGGCTTGATGCCAGGACCATAGGGTCTTGACCTGAGCTATAGGCAGACACTTCACTGACTGATGGACCCAGGTGCCCCAAATGTAACCCTTTTAAATAATTCACACTCAACATGTGTTTTATTTCTTTTCCTCACTAAATAAGTTTTTATGTATTTTATTTTATTTTTTTTGTTATGTTCAGTTAGCCAACAGATAGTACATCATTAGTTTTTGATCTAGTGTTCACGACTCATTAGTTGCATATAACACCCAGTGCTCATCACAGCAGGTGCCCTCCTGAATACCCATCACCTGGTTATCCCCTACCCCAGCTCACTCCCCTCTGTAACCCTCAGTTTGGTTCCTATGATTAACAGTCTCTCATGGTTTGTCTCCCTCTCTGATTTCTTCCCTTTCAGTTTTTCCTCCCTTCCCCTATGGTCCTCCACACTATTCCTCACATTCCACATATGACTGAAACCATATGATAATTGTCTTTTTCTGCTTGACTTATTTCACTCAGCATAATCCCCTCCAGTTCCATCCATGTTGATACAAGTGGTGGGGATTCATCCTTTCTGATGGCTGAGGAATATTCCATCATATATATGGACTATGTCTTCTTTATCCATTCATCCGTTGAGGACATCTCGGCTCCTTCTGCAGTTTGGCTGTTGTGTACATTGTTGCAATGAACATTGGGGTGCATGTACCCCTTCTTTTCGCCCCTATCTGTATCTTTGGGGTAAATACCCAGGAGTGCGATTGTTGGGTTGTAGGGTAGCTCTATTTTTAATGTCTTGAGGAAACTCCATACTGTTTTCCAGAGTGGAGGTACCAGCTTGCATTCCCACCAACAGTGTAAGAGGATTCTTTCCCTTTTCCCCACATCCTCTCCACTATTTGTTGTTTCCTGTCTTGTCAATTTTGGCCATTCTAAGTGGTGTAATGTGGCATCTCAATATGGTTTTGATACGTGTTTCCCTGACAAGTGTTTCCCTGATTGCAAGTGATGTGGAGCATTTTCATGTGTCTGTTGGCCACGTGTATGTCTTCTTTGGAGAAGTGTCTGTTCATGTCTTCTGCCCCTTTCTTGAGTGGATTATTTGTTTTCTGGGTGTTGCGTTTGAGAAGTTCTTTATAGATCTTGGATACCAGCCCTTTATCTGTAATGTCATTTGCAAATATCTTTTCTGATTCTGTGAGTTGCCTCTTGGTTTGGTTGACTGTTTGCTTGGTTGTGCAGAAGTTTTTGATCCTGATAAAGACCCAAAAGTTCATTTTTGCTTTTGTTTCCCTTGCCTTTAGAGATGTGTCTTGCAAGAATTTGCTGTGGCCAAGGTGGAAGAGGTTGCTTCCTGTGTTCTCCTCTAGGATTTTGATGGATTTCTGTCTTACATTGAAATCTTTCATACTTTTTAAAAAACATTATTTTATTTTTACAGTGTTCCAAGATTCATTATCTATTCATCACATCTAGTGCTCCATGCAATACATGCCATCCTTAATACCCACCACCAGACTCACCCAACCCCCACACCCTCCCCTCCAAAACCCTCACTTTATTTCTCAGAGTCCACAGTCTGTCATGGTTCATCTCCCCCTCCAATTTCCCTCAACTCCCTTCTCCTCTCTTTCTCCTAATGTCCTCCATGTTATTCCTTATGCTCCACAAGTAAGTGAAACCATATGATAATTGACTTTCTCTGCTTGGCTTATTTCACTCAGCATAATCTCCTCCATTCCCATCCATGTTGATACAAAAATTGGGTATTCATCTTTTCTGATGGAGGCATAATACTCCAGTGTAAATATGGACCATATCTTCTTTATCCATTCATCTGTTGAAGGACATCTTGGCTCTTTCCACAGTTTGGTGACTGTGGCCATTGCTGCTATGTACATTGGGGTACAGATGGCCATTTTTTCACTACATCTGTATCTTGGGGGTAAATACCCAGTAGTGAAATTGCAGGATCTTTCATCCATTTTGAGTTTATCTTTGTGTATGGAGTCAGAGAACGGTCTAGTTTCATTCTTCTGCATGTGGCAGTCCAGTACCATTTATTGAAGAGATTGTCTTCTTTCCATTGACTATTCTTTCCTGCCTTGCTGCAGATGAGTTGACCATAGAGTTGAGGGTCCATTTCTGGGTTCTCTATTCTATTCCATTGGTCTATGTGTCTGTTTTTGTGCCAGGGCCATATTGTCTTGATGATCACAGCTTTGTAATAGTGCTTGAGGTTGGCAACATGTTGCCCCCAGCTTTGGTTTTCTTTTTCAACATTCCCCTGGTGATTTGGGGTCTTTTCTGGTTCCATATCAATTTTAGGATTGTTTGTTCCAGCTCCATGAAAAATGTGAATGGTATTTTGACCGGGATGGCATTGAAAATTTGGATTGCTCTGGACAGCATAGATGTTTTCACAATGTTTATTCTTCCAATCCATGAGCATGGAATGCTTTTCCATCTTGTGTATCTTCCCCTCCATTTCTCTCATAAGTGTTCTGTAGTTTCTAGAGTATAGATCCTTTATCTCTTTGGTTAGGTTTATTCCAAGGTATCTTTCAGGTTTGGTGCTATGGTAAATGGAATCAATTCCTTAATTTCTCTTTCTTCAGTCTTATTGTTAGTGTGTAGAAATGCAAGTGATTTCTGTGCATTGATTTTGTATCCTGCCATGTTGTTGAATTGCTGTATGAGTTCTAGTAATTTGGAGGTGGAGTCTGTTGCGTTTTCCACATAAAATATCATGTTATCTGTGAAGAGAGAGAGTTTGACTTCTTTGCCAAGTTGAATGCCTTTTATTTCTTTTTGTTGTCTGATTGCTGAGGCTAGGACTTCTAGTACTATGTTGAACAATAGTGGTGAGAGTGGCATCCCTGTTGTGTTCCTGACCTTAAGGGAAAAGCTCTCATTTTTTTCCCCATTGAAAATGATATTTTCCATGGAGTTTTCATAATGGTTTTTATGATATTGAGGTATGTTTCCTCTATCCCTACACATTGAAGAGTTTTCATCAAGAAACCATGCTGTATTTTGCCAAATGTTTTTTCTGCATCAGTAGAGAGGGTCATATGGTTCTTGTTTCTTCTTTTGTTAATATGCTCTGTCACATTGATAGATTTGCAGATTTTGAACCATCCTTGCAACTCAGGCATAAATCTCACTGGTCCTGGTGAATCATCCTTTTAATGGACTGTTGGATCCTATTGGCTAGGATCTTGTCAAGTATTTTGGCATCCGTGTTCATCAGGGATATTGGTTTGCAATTCTCCTTTTGGATGGGGTCTTTGCCTGGTTTTGGGATCAGGGTAATTTTGGTCTCATAGGATGAGTTTGGAAGTTTTCCTTCTATTTCAATTTCTTGAAACAGCTTCAGTAGAATAGATATTATTTTGTCTTTAAATGTTTGGTAGAAGTCCCCTG